TCACTTTTTCTAGATATAGTCTATCACACTTGACCTGAAGTTTTGTGATCCATCCCTTTTCAATTCACGCTTGCCGAAGCATGCAATACAACCTACTTTTGGACTCTCTATGTCCCAGCATGTTACCATATTGCTTTTAAATTACTGTCTTTGCCAGAAAGACTAAAGGACACAGCAGTCCTTTTCCATTATGCTACACGATTCCAGTGGCTTTCTTGCTTTTAAACCTCATGGTAGTTCTTGAGTAAAGTTTATTAAATATTCTCTCATGTAGGTAAAGTACACTAAAGATAAAGGACTGATACTCCCCCCCAAACACTGGCATATTCTAAGGAAGTATAAATTGGTTATTCTCAAATATACCACTGTAGTAAATGTGTAGTTGAGAAGAGTCAGACTCCTTTCTTTTCTTTGAAAGTATTTTATTAATGTCCGTCTGTAAGACATCTAGAAAGAAGACTGAAGTCTTTAGCTCTTTACAATCTATGGGGCGCCTGGGTGGCTCAGTTGGTTAAGCGACTGCCTTCGGCTCAGGTCATGATCCTGGAGTCCCGGGATCAAGTCCCGCATCGGGCTCCCTGCTCTGCGGGGAGTCTGCTCCTCCCTCTGACCCTCCCCCCTCTCATGTGCTCTCTGTCTCTCTCATTCTCTCTGTCTCAAATAAATAAATAAAATCTTAAAAAAAAATAATGTACAATCTAGATTTATCCTTCCAGGATACAGAAAAGGCCACTAATGTCAAGAAGTTTCTTCTTTGACAATATTAAATTTAAATACACCATCACAAATTCCCCTTGCCTAAATTTATTCTCCTTGTCATTTTTACATCTTTTACTTTGTAACTGACTAGCCAAGAACTTGAATGTCCGTTGTATTCAGAATAATCGAATTTGAAATTGCCAATGACAAAAGTTCCCACTGTCAACTTCTATTTATATAGAAAAAAATCACAGATGGCAGTGGATTTTAAAGACCTGACACTGGGGCTCCCTGCTCAGCAGGGAATCTGCCTCTCTCTCTGACCCTCCCCCCTCTCATGCTCTCTATCTCATTCTCTCTCTCATATAAATAAATAAAATCTTAAAAAAAAAAAAAAAAAAGACCTGACACTGAAGCTTTTTATCATTGGAGACCCACAACGTTGTACAAAGCAAAAATGCCAAATAATTCACACACGGGCAAACACAGGCCATAATAAGAGGAAGCAAAGTCTATGCATACAACTGTTTTCTACTTAAATGCTTCTTTACACATGCTGGAGTTTGCCTGAAGTGCCAGACTTCACAGCACCACATAAATACACAAAGCTGATTTGTATACTACATTGAATACACATGTAACAAATATTTAGCTGTGTATATTTTATTTGTTTGTAAAATACCTGCCTACTTCAAAGAGAAGAATGTCTTGAAAAGGGGGATGTGATCCCTGACTGCTTCTAAGGCAAAAATAACACAGGAAAAATCACAGCATAGTAATCCTTCTCCCTACCCACACTGTTCCTTCTGGGTAAAACCAAGGTGAAACCAACATTAGATTCTGTCTGGAAAAGACAAACACACACACACACATAGAGAGAAATACCTGGGAGTTTCCTGGCATTCTCTCTACCTCTTGTATGCTCCTGCCAGTTAACTCTGAAAACTTCTATACTGTGTCTATATGATCCAGGATGAGCACCTGAATAGAAATCATCATCAACAGCCCCTCCAACCCTCCGACGCCTTTTGCCCTTTTGTTTGCTTGGGCCAACTGAGAGCCCAGCAAGATACTGGAGGGGAGGATAAGGCAGAGTTGTAGAAGGGTAAGCAGGGTATTTGTTCTCCACTCTCTCTCTGAGAAATCACCATGGATTGGCAATATCCTCCACCCCCACTGAAGGTCACAGCTTCACTCAAGGTGGCTCCTCTCCACAAGGTAGTCTTCTTCCAGGTAGTAGAAACCACTTCCTTCCCTTGTTTCTCCAAGTCAAGAGTGATAACAGCTGTTACTCCAGGATACAACCTTCTACCACTTTTAAAAATATTCCTTTTATTAAGCCATTCTTGAATCATCCATTTTGGAATGTGTCATGGTTTCCTGCTGGAATCCTGGCTGACAGACATGAGGGTAGCCAATACACCTGCTTCGTTCCCCATCATACACTAAGTTGTCAGGATAAGGCTTGACAAGGGCACATAGTAATTGCTTAATTCAAGAAAGGAAGGAAGGAAGGAGCTAGGGAGGGAGGAAAGAAGGAAGAAACCTGCCTACAGGGTTTATATTTAAAACTAACAATGGAAAGGCTTACCTGCTTTTGTGATCCCTCTTTTAATTATTACCTGGGAGGAGCATCCAGACTAATTATAGTGAGACTCTGTTTTAAATCTTCCCTCCAACATCTCACCTGGACTCTTAAAATAGCTTTGACTGCTTTCTCTGTTTTGATTTTAGATCTCCTACAATTCACTCTTTGTACAGCAGTCAAGTTGATTTCTCTAAAAATGCATACTTCACCCCTGCAGCTTCTAAGCTACTCATGGGTTTGGAGGTCAAGTCCAAACTCTTGAATGTCCCACATAAAAATTGCTATCTCTAGTTCCTACCATCCTCCTTAGACTTATCAAATTAATGTCAACCCTGAAAACTGTGTCCCAGGATACAAAGCTACTCTGTGAAACAGCAAATGTCCACTGAAATTACATTTAGTCACTTTTTTAAACTTAGGAAATGAAAACAAACAAACAAAAAGTACATATATTAGTGAGTAAGAAAGTTTAGGGACTTTAAAATGTGGGCCACAGAAATAAACTAAGGTTGATGAAGGACTAAAAGGATAGTTTTAAAATGTCTTTTGGATCACAAAATCCCATTAATCCAGATCTAAGTTACTATACCAAACCTAAAAGTAAAAATTCCCTTGAATGTTTAAATTTATTGTTTAATAATTTGTTTATAATATAAACTACAGTTCATCTTTTTAGAGGATTATTCTCCTATTTAAATATTTTAAACTTACTTTCCTTTTCCCCCCCTCTATAAGTACCTCTTTCAGTGGAGGAACACAGCTAACCCAAGGGGAAGCCCCATGGAATAAATCTGATACATACATACATAAACACACACACACACACAAACCTCACATTATAGGAACTATTCAGAAGTGCAATTAATCAACAGAGTAGGACGCACATATTGTGTTGTTCTTATCGTGATGTGCAAGCTAAACACCATGCTTTTTGTTATTGCTATTTCACATATCTTGCAGAACATAATTACAGAATTATAGACTGTCTACCCAGGATGGATGTCTCATCTCAAACAGATTGCACACAGCTTGACCCATTTGTTTTGGTCCCTTTAATATCAATTACAATAACTGTCAGTTTGACACAATTTTAGAACAAAGATTATAAGATTATACCTGGTTATCTATCACCCACAGAAGGAAAATGCAATGTTTCTCATCTCTATCATATAGCCTTTTTCTGTCCGCCTGCAACATTTATAGCTGTCTAAAGAAAGGAGGTGTCAAAGCGATAAGGCCCAGTCAGTGGAAACTACAATAAAACAGCAGCATATTTTCATGTATAAGCTCCTCATCTATTGGTTACACTTAGGACACTCTTGGTTATAAACCAACTCACACAATCTTAAGTCAAAAGGCAATTGTTCACTGCAAGAATGTTGAGTGTGACTTTGCCTTTTGCCATCGAATTGATGACAAGGACCCCAAATGAAAATCAGAAGCTTTAAACAGTCCCCATTTTAATACAAATGACCCAATTGTTAGTCAGTGTTATAGGTTAAGTTCTCCAGAAAGCAGACTCTGAGACACAGTTCAGCACACAAGATATTTAGGAAGGAACACTGCCAGGATCAACAATCTGGAAGGGAAGATGAAGAATCAGAACTGAGCAGAGAGAGGAAGAGGCCAGATTGCCATACAGGTCTTACAGGCTGACCAGACCCAAGAATACACTGGAGCTTAAGTGATCCTTGGGAGTCATCCCACTTTGGAACAAAATAAGTGAGCCTTTACCCCTCTGCCTCCATCACTCACTGGATGTGTACGGAACCTGGAAGGACATGCCTTTGGGGGAGACCGCTCTGCAGCTCAGACTGTCACTCAACAGATGAAGACTACTGCTGCAGCACCGAGATAGCATGTCCTTCCTTGAAGAGATTCTAAGCAGGACATATTCCTGTCTGTATGGACCCCTTTGCACCACTTCGCTCTGTCTCTGCATGTATGCTGAAACAGCATGCTCAGGAATCCAGTAAGCCTCACTTTTGTGGAGAAACGCAAAACGGGAAGGTTAGTAGATAGCAACAGCTGCCCCGTCTGCCACCAGTACTGATGCTCACCTTCCTCCACTACGCATGCTAGACTCCCCTTGCAGCTACCACCTCTGCAAGTCCCCGGGCTTATCTGGTGACACGACCCAAACCCTCACTCCAGAGGGGACTAGGACCCAAGTCGGTATGCTGTTTTCAAACTAGAATTGTTGTAACTGTTCATTCACAGTAAAATAATAAATGGGCAACAGGAATGCATTAGTCTGTTCAACCCTCCCTAACAGAGTGTCACAGACCAGGTTTGAACAATAGAATTTCTATTCTCACAGTTCTGGAGGCTGGAAGCCTAAGATCAAGGCCCAGTGGGGTTGATTTATGGAGAGGCCTTTCTTCCTGGCTTGCAGAGGTCTGCCTCCTCACCAGGCCCTCACATGGCCTTTTAGTCTCACACGTGCAGAGAGAGCACATGCTCTGGCAGCATAACTCTTCCTTTCCTAAGGATAATAGTCTTGTTGGATTGTGGCTCCTCTTAGGACCTCACTTAACCTTAATTATCTCTCTGAGTACTCTATCTCCAAGTGCAGTTATAGGGGGCGTTAGGGCTTCAGCATACAAACCTGGCGGGAAGGAATACAATTTAATCCATAAAGGGGACTCAAGTGGTACCTAAAGACTTTACCTTGCCCTGCCCGACTGTGTATCAAAAGTCCTACAATCTCCTTATGATCAGGATCAATTACTCCTGCCTAGATGGTATCTCCACTTCTCACCTATTAGCCTCTGAATGTAAGAAATTCAAAGTGCCCGACAGTCTCCGCCCAGAGTCGCCGCGCGTTCCTGCTTCAACAGTGCTTGGACGGAACCCGGCGCTCGTCCCCCACCCGGGCCGGCCGTTCAGAGCCAGCCCTTCGCCTTCTCCTCGTAGCGCCCTCGGACCGCTCCAAGGCCCCCGCCGCCCTCCAGCGCCCTGCAGCCGCCGCTCGCCGCCGCCCCTTCTCAGCTGCCGCCATGACGACCGCGCCCCCTCGCAGGTGCGCCAGAACTACCACCAGGACTCGGAGGCCGCCATCAACCGCCAGATCAACCTGGAGCTCTACGCCTCCTACGTCTACCTGCCCATGTCTTACTACTTTGACCGCGATGATGTGGCTTTGAAGAACTTTGCCAAATATTTTCTTCACCAATCTCGTGAGGAGAGGGAGCATGCTGAGAAACTGATGAAGCTGCAGAACCAACGAGGTGGCCAAATCTTCCTTCAGGATATCAAGACACCAGACCGTGATGATTGGGAGAACGGGCTGAATGCAATGGAGTGTGCATTACACTTGGAAAAGAGCGTGAATCAGTCACTACTGGAACTGCACAAACTGGCCACTGATAAAAGTGACCCCCATTTGTGTGACTTCACTGAGACTCATTACCTGAATGAGCAGGTGAAATCCATCAAAGAATTGGGTGACCATGTAACCAACCTGCGCAAGATGGGGGCTCCCGAATCTGGCATGGCAGAGTATCTCTTTGACAAGCACACCTTGGGAAACAGTGATAGTGAGAGCTAAGCCTTAGGCTGTCTTCCCATAGCCACAAGGGTGACTACCCTCGTCACCAAGGCAGTGCATGCATGTTGGGGTTACCTTTACCTTTTCTATAAGTTGTACCAAAACATCTACTTAACTTCTTTCATTTGTACCATTCTTCAAATAAAGTAATTTGGTACCCCCCACCAAAAAAAAAGAAATTCAAAGTGCCCAGTTGGCTGATATAGACTGCAATCCAAAAGGACCTAGGCAAGTGCTGCTCACTATGGGGACAAGACATCTAGCCCTGAAGCCTACAGTTGCAGGGATAGGAAGCATCCAGCCCACTCAGGTATTTATGAGTAACAGAAACTGAAATCACTTCTACTCTTTGATTCTGCAAAGATAAACATAGAGGAGCATTGGTTAAAGTGGTGAAAACAGACTGTACTCAGTAACTACTGACAGGTGGAGAAAGAGTTGAGCACCATTCCGATTTGTGCAAAGGTAATTTGGGCATCTTAAGGGAGAATGAGGAAGGGAGGAGACGTTATGCATATAAAACACATTTTAAAATTTTAGTCAACGTGAATTAGTTATTAATATTATTGTCTGCATTTCCAAAATAGATGATTGGATAAAAATTTTATCTGTCGTTTTGTGACAGGATCAAGCTAATTGGTTCCTGTTGATAATTACCAGTGTAACAACAACCATGAATACCACAACAAATAATAATAGTGTTAAATGGCAATTGCTGCATGATGTCTAGGTGCCAAGTACTATACTAAGTGTTCTACATGGATTACTTCCTTATTCTTCACAAACTTTCTATTAGGTAGTACTATGTATATGCATATAGATACACACACACACGCGCACACATATACACATGCATATATATATACATATACACACATTCTAGGTCCTAAGGAATAAAACATTCCCTGGACTTATTTAACAAATAAACATACACCTGCATATTTCAAACTGCATGGTCCTAAATACATTCAATATTTCTCTATAATGAACCCTACATTCTACAATACAGATTCAAGCACCTAAAAAGTAATTTTTCATAAACTAAAGCTCACCATGTATTCTCTCACTGAGAAAAACAATGAGCTTTTGATGAATTGTTAAATGGCTTAGCTATAAAAGAACAAGATTCATTGCCTTACAAGAGCTAACTCCTTGATGGAATTTACTCTGTCTTCATTTCACAGAAAGAAAAATAAAACCAAAGTGTCTGCTGTTGTCCTTCAGTGCCAGTCAATGTCATTTGAAACCTCCTTGTTACTGTATAAAGGCCAAAGGCATGGGTCTGCATCAACCACTACACTCAAGTATGTCAGAGGAGTAAAGAAGACAAAATGTGTGGTTATAGAATCATATATTGCCCCAGCCTGCATCATTCTGGCTGGAGGTCACCCATCTCCTGAACCATGGCACAAACACTAATACATTGCGGGATATAGTTTCCAGGTCAACTTAAGTATTTGCTTTGTGGATTCTGTGGTCTTTAAATTCCTCTGAACTCATTAAAATAAATCTCACTAGCTTTTGAATTTAAATTGTCACATTGCCATCTTGTGGCTTCAGAAGAGGAAATTGATGATCACTGGGAGCTTCTCCCTCTGCTTGGAACTTCGGTTACAAGGACACGGTATCTCTGCCTGACTGACTTCAGGGAGGATGAAAAGGCTCTGTTGCTCTGACTGACAGCCATAGGACCTGATAGAGGACAGAACTTTTATATAAAATGGGGATGTGATTGCTGAGCAAAAAAAAAAAGCATCTTCTAAATTAAGTGTAAAATATGTAGAAACTAAGTGAAAATCTGAAAAGGTCTTGGTATGAAGCAACATACAGTGCTCCATAGGAAGACCGTGAAGTCACATTTGCTCAGGAGCCTTGACTATTTTCTCTAACTTGAACAATTACAGAATGAATGCATTCAACAGCATAACAGATTGCACAACCAATTCATGCAGCTCAGAGATCAAATTTAAAGCAGAAACCACTCTAAGCAAAGTGTCCCTGCTTGGCTGATTCGAGAGCTCCACTAAGGTCTGCATCAAGACAATTACCATGGTCAACTCTGTTGCCTTCAATTCCCAACCCTGTTTTGTTTTTTCTAAAAAAAGAAAAAGAAATCTTTATTTGAACATAAATGGCATGCCCTAGTATGGCTGCATATTAACATCTAATTACATTTGCCTGTGGATTCATTAATTCATCAAAACTTGCCAACTTTAGTGTTGAGAACTAATAACAAAAGTATGAATTTTGTGAAGTGCAGGTTGTTTTTCTAACATATGACAGAGCAGGGAGATTTTCAAGAGAAAGACGATGCATGTAGGGAACCAAATAAGCAGCTCCTGCTAAGTTAGCAGGTGAGGAAAGGCGTATATAGTAGTCTAGGAAGCCTCAGAGGAGGAAAAGGGGTAAAAAAGGCAGGGCAGGGCATTTAAAGAAAACACAGCATCTGGAAGATTGGGTTTCATACTGCCTTAGTTTGAGAATGTTTTGCAATCCATGACCCGTGACCATCCCTGTGACACTCCAAGGAAACTTGAGAGCAAGTGGCAGTTCCCAAGAAACTGGCACCATGACCGGAATGGGCAACCACAGACAGAAGAGACTCAAAGACCTTGAACTTACCCCGGTAGAGCTCTTCTGCAAGTGAGCTCTCCAAAAACACCTATTAGCTGCTTCACACATATGCTATTTATTTCCAAAATTCTATTCATCATGGAAGAATTCTACTGATGAAATAGTTCTTGCTATCCTTCAACTTGTCCCAGCCAAACTGTGGAAAAAATCTGACTGTTTATTAGCTTTGAAGTGTCATTTTCCATTTCCTTTAAATCCCTAAATATCTACGAATCTTTGAAGTGTTACATGTTTTCTTACTACAGTCTCCCACTGACTGGAGATACGTGGATTTTTAATCAACAGAAATGTGTGTCTCTATCTTCAATTCAATAAAGGATTTCTACCCCCTGTATTTATTGCCTGTTAAGAGGTACTCAAGATTATTATTTGGGGGAAATTCACTGTCCTTATACACATGAACGCTCAATTTAGAAGTTAGCAGAACCATCACTCCTTCTCTGATAATGGTATACATTCAGATCATGTGTAATTCCATGAGAGTGGTCAGCAGATCTCTAGAGACATTTGGAAATCAATTTACAAAATTGAGTTGCTCTTGAAATATAAAGAAACAATACAGAGAAATCAATCAGTAGAGAAAAATTCTACTCCTCTCACAATTGATCCTCTGATGAATACTTATTTTAGGGAATCCTTGTAAAGACAAATATCATTTCAGGAATTTTTGACTTAAGGAAATTGAAAATAATTTATAAAGAAGAGATTTTCTGGCAAGTCAAAACACTGGCTTCAATTTTAATTGACACCTTTATTCAGGTGCAATAATTGATGAAAAGAACAAACTCTGGAAAGTAAGACTACTGGGTCATTTTAATACATTACAAAAATCTACCAAATACCAGCTTAGGTCAAACTTTAAGAAGCATTTGTGCATATTTCTGATTCTGCAAATTTGTGTTGCAGAGGACCCAGCATGAATCCTTTGCTGGGAATCGGAGTTAGCTAGGCATGATAGATGTTTCCTGAAGGAGGTGTACAAGCAGGTTAAAGTTTTGTGGCCTGAACTAATCTTTATGAGGGAAATGGATGCATGAAGTCTCAGCCTATTGTCAGACTGGAATCTGGGCCAATTGGTAGGTGGGGCTTTAAGAATACATAATCGAGCTATATTCATGACATGCTAGACTTGGTTCTAGTCCTAAGAGAATTTAAGCTTGAATCAGAAAGTGAACATTCTCGGGCGCCTGGGTGGCTCAGTTGGTTAAGCAACTGCCTTCGGCTCAGGTCATGATCCTGGAGTCCCGGGATCGAATCCCGCATCCGGCTCCCTGCTCAGCAGGGAGTCTGCTTCTCCCTCTGACCCTCCACCCTCTCATGCTCTCTGTCTCTCATTGTCTCTCTCGCAAATAAATAAAATCTTAAAAAAAAAAAAAAAGACAAAGATACAGATTTAAAAAAAAAAAAAAGAAAGTGAACATTCTCTCCAGTTCCACCAAATACTCATCACAGCTCTAAAGACTGTATCACCCATCCCCCTGGACCCCAATTTTGCAAGTATCAGAATCTCAGTTCTGGCATGGACACTGGCACCGTCAAGGTGGGCATCAGCTATAGTGACAGACACATACCCATGCTTTTCACAAGCAACAGCCACCATGGAGAGGGCCAGAGCTGCCGAGGAAGAATACAGCAGATGGGGCGCCTGGGTGGCTCAGTCGTTAAGCGTCTGCTTTCAGCTCAGGTCATGATCCCAGGGTCCTGGGATCAAGCCCCGCATCGGGCTTCCTGCTCCGCGGGGAGCCTGCTTCTCCCTCTCCCACTCCCCTGCTTGTGTTCCTGCTCTCGCTATCTCTGTCAAATAAATAAATAAAATCTTTAAAAAAAAAATTAAAAAAAAGAATACAGCAGATGTTCACAAGGTAACTGAAGAGGGACAAGACTAACATCTTCCGCCCACTCCTCCTCTTCTGATGGGTTGCTATGAGCAGCATAATGGAGAGCAAGGCTTCTAACATATAGCAGTAGCCTTCGGTTATCTGTATGGGTGCAGATAACTTGGTTATCAAGTCTTTACCAAGAGAAGATTGAGTATTACAAAGCAAGACCAGCCCTTTGTGTTCTAATCTTTATGCATCAGTAAAATTGCAAACTTATTCAGACTTCAGGATTTTTATTGTTGTGTATTATTTTTTGTATATTTTTATTGATGTGTATTAATTTGAAAGTATGAAACTTAATTTTGTGATAAGTTGAGCTCAAAATACAGGCTCTGAAAAAATTATGCATTTAATCTGACAGCACAATTGATATGAAAATTATAATTGGTTAATGAATATAGAACACTTGGATAACATTCATTTTTCTGATTACATTCATGGGTTTCCTTCAATTAGTTTTATTATCACATATTCCTTTTCATTTTTAACTTCTGTTTAACAAAATAGGAAAAATATGGACACTAACTTGAATAAACCTCAGAATAACAAGAGTATATCCATCCACAGTTGCCCTGGACAACAATGAGCATGCAGCTGCTCGTGTCCCACTGGGGCCTTGTTCCTGAGGACCAACACTCTTGAAGCC